AGGGNGGGGGGGACCATGGCCCCCTCAGCCCCTCTCCCTGTGCATACGCTATTCTATCTTATAGTGGTCCCGAGAAAATCCCCGGGAAAAGCTTCAGAGCTTCGATGGCGCTCGAGGACAGCCCCTCCGTTCCAATCCCGTGTCCAATCAGATAAGAAACGGTGTGGATCTCGCTTTGCTCTAAGGCAGGGATGTCAAAGTCAAAAGTTCGGCGGGCCACGAAGGAGCACTGGGAGAAGCCGGCGGGCCACATAAAAGATTTTTTCGAGATTATTCTTAATTCACGTTGTTTTAGCTGGAGGGAAACACATATGTATATGCACGATGGGTCACAATCGATCCTCGATTTTTCAGAGTCGACTCGTTCTACTCGCGATTCGAAAATTACAAGGATATTATCCTATGGAATTCCAGAGGCCAGCTCTTTGACGCCCCTGCTCTAAGGCAGTGTTTCCTTAACCGGGTTCCGCGGAACCCTCGGGGTTCCGTGGCGGATTGCGCGGAACCCCAAAGTCTACCTGCGGAACCCCGTCGAAGAAGAAGTTTGGGATCCACTGCTCTAAGGCGTCAGTTTGGATCGGCCTCTGTTTCGTTGACTCGTCACTCATCCCTTCGCTATGATGGAGACCCAAACGCGTTCGAACATATTCTCTGGACTAAGTACCTCATTTATGAGGCACGATTGACAGCATGATGTGGCATGATTCACGTCCGTCCGGCAAGCCTCCGAGAATTCCGAGAGACTTCATGAGCGCGACGATCACGCGCACCTATCGTTCCTCCCCAACAGACCATCGGAGCTGTCAAAAGATGTAGAGAAGAACTGTTGCGACGCTTCCTCAGCTCCCCAGGAGGATTTCCCTTTCCCAGTTTCAGACAAGCAAGCTAAGACGATTCTTGGAGACCTATGAGTTCAGCGAGGATTTATTGAATCTCGAGACCGTCACCATCGGAATCTAAGAAAATTTACAGCTTATCTACGCAACCTCCGTCTATGCCGTGGGATCTCCCAACTTCGCAACCGTCTGTGCTTCCTCTAGAGCTTTTCTAGCTTTGAATTCTTGAGTGCGATTCCAGTCTGCGTAGATCGCAGCAGCCACGACCGTGGGGAAGAGAACGGACGCCTGAAATGATGGAGTTATAAATTATCCAGAGTTATAAATTGCTCGGCAAAGACATGCGACCCTCTGAGGGTTTGACGCGGCAAAAGAGAGCGATCCGAGACATGCTTCGTCCGCCGATCGCAACTCTACGTCGCGCCGGCGAGCCTGATTCAGACTGTCGGAGCGCCGTCAAATGATGTCGCACGTCAATTTTGGAAAGGTAATACATCTGTGCGGCAAGAGTCCGCTCAGTTGAAACAAATTGAAGTACATACTCACAGCGTATCGTCGCATTTGTCTGAGACCGTACGCCAGCTTCGACGATCGAGGCTCTGTCGTCTCCATTGATCCTAGAATTGAGGGTAAGCTATTCATCTCTCGAAACATCGATCGACGCTCGGCCGTCTCTACGCGGGTTGTCAGAGATCCGACTGAAGAGTGCGCATCGTTGTAGACACCAATAGAAAGCCTGACTGCGAGGCAAGCTTCCATTTGTTTCCGAAAGATCGTCGGCTATCCAGCTAGCTCCCCATTCTAAAGTAGCCAGATTGAAGTTCTTCACTCACCCCGAGAATCCATCTTATGGAGCTTGAAGGGAAATCGCTCAATACAGTGATGCGCGGTCTAGGTCAAATCAGCTGTTCTGTCGGACATCGATCCGGAACACAGGAGAAGTCCACGTTCCGCGCTCACCACTATCACGGGGCGACTGGTGGGAGCCCACGGAACGCCGGCTTCTCATTTATCGAATTGCATCCGATTTGGTTCTCGAACGAGCGGCGAAATTTCAGATTCCGTGAAAGGGGTGCTGGTTCTGTGTATCCGGAGCATGAGCGTAACCGTAGTTCTTGCCTGCAGCGAAGCTTCTATGCGAGGAATTGGAGGCAGCGGCTGGTGAAACGTTCGAAACGAGGAACACAAAATCAAAGAGCGACTGGAGCGAAAACTACGGGGCTGGTGGAGGACTCGAGGTAGGACTCGAAATTGTTCTTGTCAAAGTCTTGAGCCAGAGCCAGAATCGTGTGACCGACGGCCGATGAAGAGAATATCCGTCATATCTGGAGCGATGAATTAAATTCATATTTCGATTTCCCTCAGGTGATGCTCAGCCGGCATCGAAAATCCACGGAGGATAAGTGATGGACGTATCGGTGGACACCCACCAGTGCATACGCTGTGGTCAAACCATTGTCGGCATCGAAGCCTATGTTGAACATCGCAAGTTCAACTGTATAGGGAGTTCTTCCCCGGTCCTCGAGAGAGATCCGCTTGAAGCGCCTCTTCTTCCTGATGTCCCGGATCTGCAAGATCTCTTCGTCTCTTTCCTGGACCTTCAGAGGTATTGACAGAGTATCTCTCTGGTGCTCCCCGAGTTTGCACGAACTTTCGATATTTGCTCATTTCAGGAAGGCTTCCACATAACGTGGTTTGTAAAGAGCTCTAATTTCGCAGGAAACCCGCTGAAACTCTAGAGAGTGGCTCCGAAGATGACGACGATCCGCTACGACCCCCAGGCAATCATACGGGTGGCAAATGGAAGCCGGAATGCCGCCCGTCGATCATGCAGGGCATGCAGACCCTGCATCGAGACAGGACGCCCAGTCCGGAAAGGTTTGTGGCTCGTGATCTATTCAATATCGTCATCGATTCGAAGTGAACACCATCCTGAGCGGTGGCTTTCAGATCCTCTCTCATTCCAGGCTGCCCCAGATGCTCGAAAAGATGGGGTGTGCACCTTGCGGGCGGATATTCCGTGACAAATATACGTACCAGCGTCACCTGGAATCATCCTTGCACAGGAAAAGAAGCTTACGTAATGCGCAAATCCTTCGAACACAAGAGAGACCGGTAGTCGAACCGAAACCTCCAGAGAACTTACTCGAAGATCCCCTGAAAGAGACCTTCATGAAGTCACGCAGGAAGAGATGTCCGAAAGTCAAGACGATGCTTCCCCTCGAGCCACTCAAGGTCGTGAAGACATACCGGCTCCGCTGCTCCATATGCTACCGATGGTTTTCAGACGAGAAACTCTTGAAGAAACATACAGCCAAGCACACATCGGCTCAGAGCGACGAGTTTTGCTGCGGGACTTGTCAAGAGCGTTTCACTGAGGGAAGTGCGCTGCGCGAGCATCTCAAAACTCACAGAGAGCATAAAAGATGCTGCGGAAAGATTTTCACCACCGTGAAAGGCTTCCGTGAGCACAAAGAAGCCGTCCATGCTGCTGTGAAGGAGTGGCTCGCGTGCGAAAAATGCTCGAAAGAATTTGGAACTCAACGAGCTCTCAGAGATCATGCCTGTCTATCAAATTCCGCGGAATTCCCCTGCGCCTCCTGCGACTACATCGGAAATAGCAAAAAGAATCTCCAGTTGCACAGTCGGAGTCATAGTCAAGATAAACGTTACAAATGTAATCGTTGCGATTACCATGCTAAGCGGCACAGTCAAGTGTGGCGGCATCAGAAACTTCATGAAGCTCGAAAGCTACAAGAATGTCCATACTGTGATTACACCTGTGCATTGATAGAGAATCTACGAGCGCACATTCTCAGGGGCACCAAACACGCGGGTCTGAAGGTGTACCCTTGTTCTAAGTGCTCGTTTTCCACTAACAGCTCGAGTGAGGCAAAATCACATCAGACTTCTTGTATCATACCTCCATAGGGGTTGGAATCTCCACCCCCTCTCCTTGTGATAAAAAATGTATGACGCAGAATGGGTTCCGTTTGAGCATACGTACTATGGAGAATAAAAGAGATGGTAATAAATGAAGATTGCGGCTGAGATCCGTGCTCCTCTTGAAAACACTGCGCCGTACTATAGATATGTACAACTTGGACCAGTGACAGTCTCCTTTCCGTAGACTCCACTCGTGTAAGGTCCGGGGATCAAGGAAGATTCCATGGCATTGGAATTGTTCAAAACCTCACTTATTTACTCCACAGCATGTCGGTACTTCGCAAAATTACATTCCGTACAAGAACATTGTGATTACAAACTCAACTCGAGGGATCAGTCTTCGGCGGCCGTATCTCTCATCCTCACCGCCCACACTCTCGCTTTCTCATGATTCGCTTCTCGCTTCGATAAGCGCTGAAAGTCGAATAAACCCGGATTAGATTTTTTGACGAGCAGACGGTTCACAGAATACGACGTGAGTGGGAATCAACGAGGCTCACAGAGACTCTACGTACGAATCACACAAGCATTTTCATCGTTAGAGCGAGGTCTTTGGGCTGGGAGCACAGATTGTTCTTGAGATACTGTTGCAGTTGACAAAGTGAGTCTCGACTGGCCGAAGGATCTCGATTTTGGAGCTGGATGATCAGACCTGACGAGGATCGTCGGACCCTGAGGTCACAATCCAAGAACCTCGCGACCGGTTCGGGCCGGTGAAAAACACGTTTATTGCTCACGGTTTTCACTGAGTCGGATGGCGTTTGTTCGGCGGATCTGCAATCCATCGGGGAGTCCACATCAGATTCCTCAGAGGACGATCTCGATCGCTTACTCCCCTGTGCTTGGGAACTAGATCCGCATTCCATTTCTTCCTTGGATTCCCGGCGGTCGATCGCGAGGCCCGAAAATTTGGCGGCTTCGTCAATGAGCTGCTGTGGTGCGGCCGGAACCACAGTCTCGACAGGCTTTTTTCGGTCTCGTTCTCGTCGTCTCCTGCGTTGTCCTGTCAGAGTGTTGTGCTGGGCTAGGACTCGCAGGTGACAATTGTTTTTACCCTCTGTGACAGTGCTGAACATTATCTGTACATTGAGCAGCAGTTCCTTGACCCTCGTGCACACCGTTTCGGTGGAGTACTTCACGCCTGGGACGAAGCTCGGGACCTGGTATACCAGCGGTGGCTTCGGCACGACGTGTTTCATTTGCGGGACCGACTCGAGATCTACGCCGTCATCGTGCGTCCAGGCAATCCCCCATCGCATGGTCTTCCCTTGACAGAATTCAGTGGTGGTGAATCGTATTTTCTCATCTCTGAAGAAGCGGGACAGTTCTTTGAGATCTTTCTTCTTTCCCAACATGGCGGACGCGACCCGGATTCTGTCCTTGTGTATGAGACTCTGTTCGACGACTCTGCGGACAAACTCGAGCTCGCCACCAGGCGTAACCTTCTCGTGTTCTTCGCCCATACAATCGCCGTTCGGGTCGGCTCGGCCCTGATCCTCGGCTTTGAGAGCGGCGTTCGCCTCCCATGAATCCTTGTAGAATGGCGGATTGCAGAGAAGTATATCGAAATTTTGATCAGTGCTTTGCAGAAACTCTTGGAAAACGATTCCCCCTTCTGATGTTTTCACAACTTTTATGTAATCGCCCAACCCGTTGCGGGTCACATTCTGGGCTGCAACTTCGAACGCTAGAGGATTAGCTTCCACGCCCAAAAACCGCCACGAGCATTGTTTCACTCCCAAGAAGGGCAGTATACAGCTGGATCCAGTGCCGAAATCGACAGCGACAACGGATTCGGACTTGCCGAGGGCGAAGTTCACGATATCCTCGCACCACAGTAGATAATTCAATCGCTGGGGTACAGCTGGAGCCAAGTAGCCTCGAGGTATTTCCACGTCGAGATCGAAGTCGCTTTTCAAAAGGCAGCGACTCAGTACGCGCGTAGCTTCGGGGTTTGTGAAGTCTAGCGTTATTTCTCCGTTGAGATTGACCACGGATATTTCTCTAAATTCGGGATATTCCAGGGCCAGTTTCGAGAACTCCGGTTTGTTCCGAAAGTAGATATTTCGATGGTGCATGAAATCGTTGAAATTTATCTGCACCGGCCTCTTCTTCTTGGAATTCGGACTGGACATTTCTGTGCTCGGCCTCCGGTAGAATAATCAATCACACACTGTTCCTATTCACTTGCCTCCGCTTTGAGACAACGGGTCATCGTATGGTACTCTGTGTTGCAAGCGCCGAAGATTCTCTTGAATGGATTCTGCAATGGAGGAGGAATCATATCAAGACAGATAATAAACAACCTAAACCGGTTGGGTAATGCTCGTCATTGATCACGGATTCCGGGCACGCGTTGTCGTCCAACGCAGTGAACCGAATGCGATCTCAGAATCTTCCGGTGCCTGAGCCCAAGATCCGGATGAAATCTGGAAGGCTCGTGCTCCCGGGCCTGAGATGTCATACTCGGCGTTTCGAGGGCTCGGTGTTTTCGACGAAGAGCCTTCCTAATCGAACCCATTCGATCGCGGCGAACCAACCTCTGCCCTGCAGGCTATGAGTTTCTCTATTACTTCATTGCAGTCAGCTGTGTGTAGATGCGTGCTGAGGTCCGGGTGCATGATCTGATCCAAAGGGAACAATCCTTTCAGAAGGTATCGAGCGTGAAAGAGGATGTTCGAAACTAAACCATCGCTGTCGAACACTCTGACGGTGTGGAGAAGACCCAGAAACCGAAACCACTCGGTCAATAACATTATCCGCGGGACTCTTGAAACGCGCGCGCACAGAGAGTGCTGCGCGAAACCTCTACGCTGAACGAAAGACGTGTATCCTGAGACATGGCACTACCCTCAAGCGATTATTTACCTCGCCATTCTCCAACTCGTCGATAGAGCCCGAAGTGCAAGCCCGCTGAGATCATGGCCAGCTCCACGGGGCCATGGGTTGGCGCGAGAACCGCGATCCGAAGGTCCCTGCCCTCGTTTTAGCCGTGGGGCGTGGGGGTATCCAGAGCCTTGGACACGATATACTCTCGGGGTCCAGTTTGATTCTCTGCCGTGGGTCTCTCGTTTATCGTCGCCTCGCCCATGCTCTCCTTCGAGGCTTCCCGACCGTTGATCACTGATCATGATCATGTGACCAAGACAGATCAAGTCTTAAGTCTTGATTCTAGACTTTGAGACAAAAAACTAGCTGAATGGAATATCGCCACTTCCGAACTTCGATTTGGCATCCGAAAACGGAACGGAACGAGAGTAAACCGCTGGCCGATGGCCGTTTCCAATCGTATATTCTGCTGTTAGACAGCGGAATAATTCCTCCCGCCCTTCGAAGCGGGGTGACTTCACGATTCACGGAAAGTGAATTTTCGTATTCTCTTTGGAACATATCAACGATTCGCCGGTCACGAGCCCAGCTTGTACCTCCATTCCTTACGCGGGGAGAATATATTCTCTCACTCTGAGCTGCGCGAGCAGGTGCTGACTCACGATTCGATCGGTTTTCGCCCGAGTGAGTGAATCGTGAGCCTCGGCTTGTCATGGAAACGGATCAGCGAGAACCTTCGATGAAACAAAGTTGGCAAGTTGATCATTCCTCCGGAATCCTTTTTCTCATTTCTCAACTTTGAGTCCTCGTGTGGACGCGGATCCCGGAGCCAGTCGGCACCGCTGACGTCGATCGGGTCGATCAAGCATACAAGCCAATTCGAAGTCGGGTTGACGACCACTGTATCCTGATCGGGGCAAGCTCACAAGCGGTGTCTGATTCCACTCTCCGATTCGGGTCTTTTCTAGAATCGCCTCCGTCGAAATGGAAATGAGGGAGCGCCCGCAAGTTTCATTTCCATGAATCGGGCTGTGGATTGAAATCAAGGCGACACTGAGGCTCAGATTCAACCTTCTCTTGGAAGACCATCAGGCAGCTCTATGGGGCGAAGTTCGAGTCCACGATCGGGAAGTTCGAGGCCGCGCAGATCTTCCCATTGGGGTAGGAGGTGGAGGGCGCGCTGACCAGGCGACGATAAGGTCGGTAGCGCTCGGGGTCTGGCCGATCTTCCGAATCTGAGGCAGGAGCGCTACTCCGGGAGGAGGGGATCAGCCGGAGTGGTGAACGGGCAACCAGAGGAGAATGTCAGGACCTTGGAAAGCATTCATCTCGATCTTCAATACCCTACATGTCAGACTCATAACGCTCCACTCTACAGGCTGGTATATATAGTATACTCTTATGAAGACGATCACTTGGAAGACGCGGGAGGCGCGGGACCTTCCACGACCGGGACATTGTGATTACGGTTCTCGGGCGCGCTGCTTGCTAAGGATAGGATGATGATGGATCGCATATTGTTTTTCCGCGTCTTCCTGATGCCTTCGATCCAGAAGATGATGCATGTACTGATATTAACTAGTTTTCACGCGTCGTCCCCTTGGCGGCAGAGTCCTCTGCATATCTCCCTACGGCCTAGATGCTCGGATGGAATTCTAATCAGGTTTATCGGGAATCGATCGGATCTTGAACTCTTGGGCTTTCCCAAGGCTTGACTCGGAGAAATTTCTTGAGGGGAGTCCCAAAGCTTAATCATCATGAATGAGCATAGCCTCGGAACGGTCGACGTCCCCTCATCGTCGGCAGCCATTTCGGATTCGATCCACTCCGACGCCGACGCATCGTCGGGGAATCACGAATGTGGAGTTTCGAAAACGATTCCAAAAGTCAATCGCCATACCATTCTCGAAGGACGCTTCCTCAGAGTGGATAATCGAATAATCTGAGTTCATCTGCTTGTCTACAATGAAATGAATTATTATAATCCTAAAAGCGAGAGGAAGTTCCCCAGATGAATTTTGACGTTGAGCGCGGCTTCAAATTAGTAATTCTCCTTATAACATTTATGCGTGAATCCCGAAAGCTGGCTCAGTGATTGCTGTAGTTCATGATCTGTTTTCGAGTCTTCCGCCTACTTTCAGTCAATATTCCGGGAGAGATTTTGTTTTTTGGGCACAAGTTTTCCAGAAGGTCTCGGGAAGAAGTTGTCGGCAGGGAATATCGGCTGTCGTTGAGCTGAAAGGGGCATCCGATTGAACGTCAACTTGACGTTGTTCTGGGGGCATTGAGCTTCCCTCGCAAGAATTCTATGAGTTGAGCTCGAACGGGGAAGTCAGCGCGCAATTACACCGCCTGATGGGGTTCCCGTTCTAATGATTTATAGAAGACGCCCTGACAGCTGATGACCGAACGTCTTCCCCTCGATGAAGATCCTGCTCAGGGTCTTCGACAGGTCTCGGCCGTCCGAAAGCCGGGAGGGAAATCAGCCTGTGAATCATATGGGTACGGGATGGATGCGTAGAGATGAACGCGGACTGGTACACCGCATCCGGAGATATTTGATAAAATCCTTCCAGAAGTTTTAGTCGATGGGTGAGCGGCGACGCGCTGTAGCATCGCGACCCAGCTAGAGAGTCACTCAATCGTGGAGAGATCTCATCCCGAATGCTTCAGCCGACAATCTTGGCCGGCAGAGCAACCAGACTAGCAGCGACAGCTGTAACCCACTTAACACGGGGGACTGACGTCTGAGAGTTTTCGGATTCTCGTCTGGCTGCAGAACCGAGCGGATCTTTGCGCTATCCGCAAGTACGACATCATGCTCGAATCAAGTGGAAAAATATAAACATACACTTGCTCATAGGTTCCTCTCTCGTTTTCCCGAAGGGATCAACGCAAAGCGAGCATTGTGAAGAAACACTTCTCGAGCATCTGCCGTTCTGACCCGAACATCAACTCTCAGATCAAATCCTGCCGTTTTCTCGAATTCCGATACCGCAGATATCTTATCTCCTCCGGAATGATTTTTTCTCAGAAAACTTCTAAGATTCGGTAGTTTCACAGGTCGGAAGACCATTGACGAGCTTCCCCGCCATTCTCTCCCAAAGTCGAACCGCTCGACTTCCCCCTGTAACCGTCCCAAATGTGCATCCGAGTGATTCATCCACCATGTGTATAAATATGATATATGGTGATTCGGCTCCATCGGGCCCTCTCTTTCCCGGACTCACCAGATATTATCACGCGGACCCGATTCTCAGAAGAAAATGGAGTCCTTGAGCAGTCAGGAACTATTGGTGCTCGATCGAGAACACCAGACAAGCGACCCACTTCTTGAAACAAAAGTGAATACACGCTCCGAATACTTCGCTCCTCCATGGCCCGAATCCCGTCCCCCTGTATTCTTTGAAAGCAATGATTGGGGCTGTTCGTCGATCTCGGAGAAGACGACAACTTCGAGAGAATTCCTTCGACAAGACCTCCCGCTGGAAGTCTTGAGCGGCGGCCGCGATAAATTGACTCAAATGTCGTCAGATTAGTCCAGAGAACTCCCTCTGTCTCAACAACACCAGCGCGCGACGTGTTGCTGGAATCGCCGGATTGAATCAATCCCTCACGCGACTCTCTCCGTGGAATCGGAATCTGCACCCAGACGCATTCGATGAGGTCATCTCCGCTATCCGAACGAGGATAATCGACGAGAGTTGATTTCCTCGGACGATTCCTTCTCAGAGATCAACTCCGAAACTCGGAATCGTCTCTCGGGTCGGATCGAGTGGGTGGGACGGTCCGGATCTGTCGGGAGAATGATTGGGTCTCCTTAAGATTGGAAACTAAAGGGATCGAGTTGTGCTTCCCTGTTACGGGGATCCCGAGCATCTGCATAATGAATATATTCACCGATCGTGATTCACTGCAGACATCGACGGTCGGATTATCATGACGTCCTTACAGCAGGACACGATGAGCGATTCGGGTGAACGTCGGAAGCACCCCATTGCGGATTGAATAGGGACAATAATCTCGCCCGATGAGAGCCGACGGAGTCCCGGATTCCAAGATTCCTGCCAGACTGGGAATCTCCGGGTGGGGGGGAATAGCTTCGGGTAGGATCGATCGCCGTCTCTACGTAGATGCATTCGCGAGGAACGTGGCGTTAGCCGAGGACTAAAGTCATACGCGTTCTATTTCCCGTAGTCAACGATATGGTTCATGACTTGAGAGGGGTCGAGACCACGATTTCTACAGCTTTCCGCGCGTTACGTCCGTGTGATCAGAGTCCGAGGAACGCTGAGAGCCCCCATGAACTTCCGAGAGGTGTCAATTGGAAATAGCAGCCTGATGACGCCCACGACCGGGACAACGTTCGTCGACGACATCGACGGCCGGCGGGACGACCTTGTAAGGCCGAAGACGCATCTCCATCCTCTTCGATGTTTCGAGGGCAGCCTCTAGATGGCGCTAGTGGTTTGCCGGTTGGCAGTGACGGAAGGAAAGGGGCTCTGGGCGCCAAGTTCTCTCTTCTCAGCATCTCGCACAACATTACGGCAACTGCGGCGGAGCGACAGCGGTTGTTCCGAACGACGAGAAACCTGCAGTGAGTCTGCCAACCAGCTCGACTGGCTACCTACCTGTCCATAGGACAGACTGACAGTGTTACAAGTCAAGTTCAATCAGCCTGGACGACGACTAAGTGAGCGGCCGACCAAAAACCCGACACTAGCTAGCCCACCAGCCCGCCGAAGTTGGGTCGATTGT